GGGCAGGTAAGGTGGAGTGGTGGGGGGCGGCCTGAGGGGGCGGGAGAGGGTCCGGCCCACTCTGCGCCTGGGCTGGGACTGGTCCCGCCGGCGCACGGTAGCCTACTAACTTGTTTGAAACTGTTTCATTTTCATTTTATCTTCTTTTTCTCATTAAAATGATATAAAAATGTATTTCTGCTTGTATATTGTGACAACAAACTTAATTCTAGACAAATTCTGTAGGACAATCACCAAATAATGTGAGATTACAGCACATTGCTATTTGTCAGGAAAAAGAATCCAGGAAAACATCAAAGCATATATCAGGTGTCCTCTACCTCTCTCTGCACACAATATCTAACAGCCACAAATTAAAAGAGAGGTTTAAGGTGGCTCTGGTTTTAAAGGGTTTCAGTCCACAGTCAGCTGGTTCCAAGACAGGGACAGTATAATGGTTGGGTGGAGTGGAAGAAAGTTCATGGGTGGGAAGCAGAATAGGAAGCAATACCAGACAGAGAGGGGTAAAGCTCAGTGAAATACCCAAACCATGCTTCTGTGGCCCAGCCACATACCTTCAGAAAAGTGTTCCATCAATTTCCCAGGTCAATTCTGAAGCCAACCAAGTAGAAAGAATTAAGCTGAAACATCATGCTATTTTGTTGCTGACAGTGCTTTGGAGTAAAAAAAGAAATGGACAATTTTTGAAGGATGCTAAGAAATAAGAGGGATCTAAATCTCTTCTCATACCAAAGGCAAGAAGAAATTTTATGTTTTTAACTTCAACCATAGAAAGGAAGACTATAATTTGTTTATCAATGTAAGAGGAGTTTCAAATTCAAAACAGATTGAGTACAGAATAGTTGAGGTAATACAAAAAATTAGCATGTTTTTCTTTATAGATGTGTAATACACCATTGTATGAAAATACCACATCTTTTTCATCCATTCTTCAAGTGATGGGCATTTTGGTTGCTTCCAAGATTTGGCTCCTACAAAAATGGGCACACATATATCACTATGATATATTTTCAGTTTTTCTGGGAAAAGACTGAGAAGGGAAGTAGCTGGATTGAACAGAATTTCCAGTCCTTTTTCAGGAGTCTCCACACTAATTTCCCCATTGGTTGTACCAGGCTACACTCCCAGAAGCAGTGGACAAGGGTTCCTTTTACCCTCCACAGCCTCTCCAACACTTGTTGTTAGTTGACTTATTTATGATAGGCATTCTTGCTTGGGTGAGGTCATATCTCAATTTTGTTTTAATTTACATTTCTCTTTTTTATTAATTTTATTGAGAAACAAATAGCAATGAGACAGTTTCAAAACCTATTAATAGGACAGTTCCAATAATTAATACGTTGCATATTGTTGTCTTCTTAGTGGTTATTCATAGTACAAGATGCAGACATGATATACTGTCTAAATACTATTAGTACAAATCTTTCTTCTCATTGAATTAAGATAAAGTAGCTGTATATCTGTCCTAACTATTCTGTATATACAGATACAAAATAGTCCTTCTTTGTATCCTCTGTTTTTGTTTAGTTTTGTTAGAGATGGGTATTCCATTGCCATTTAAATATTGTAGGTGCGTAAATTCAGCAAATTAATCCAATATAGTCCAGCAGTCCATAATAGTAGTGGGTTATCCGCAGGACTGGCAATGTCAGAAACTGTTGACTTGAGCCTTTCACAGCTCAGCATATTAATATGGCTTTAGTTTTTATACCTCATTTTTATGATTTTCTGCTGCTATTAAGACCAAGATAAAGCAAGACCTATATAA